TGGAAACACGTCCACACATTCGTTATTTCTAGGCTGGACTATTGCAATCCTTTATTATCTCCCTGAAAAGCGTCTAGTTGATTCAAAAATGGTGCAGCGAGAGTGCTAAGAGCAAGTAGAGCAAATTATTGGACGTTATTTTAAAGACCATTTGATCCTTTGGATTGGCTTATTAGACATACGTTTTAATAAACAGCTATCAGGTGTAATTATTAAATGTATGTATCATATTTTAGAAACTAATTTCCACTTTAGGCTTAATAAAGGTTTTTTATGGTCAAACTCATGAATGCACAAAGCTTTTATCCTTTTTATTAATAGGCAATGAAGCTTGTGAATTCATGACAATCAAGAATTCATTATTATTTAAAAATGAATTAACAAGAAATTAATGTATGTTATGTACAATAGCCCAAATCATTAAAATCCAACTGAGAACAACTAAGATCAAAGAAAGAATCACCAAACCTAAAACAGCTGCTACTACACTTCCCAAGATGCATTGCTGGCTGCATCTTTAAGTAGGCGCTCACTGGTAAATACCCTAATCTTCCAAACTCTCCAGACTTGGTTTGTCACACAAGGATTCTCTTAAATGTTTAAAGGCTCCCCCACAGCTATAGCTGATGTGTTTTCCCCCCACAGGCTTGAATAATAATCCTCATTATAAGTAAACTGATCTTCACGTGTAAAGCAAACTCAGTTAAAGGTGTGGACGTGTGGATGTGAGAGTGTATGGTTCTCTGTATCTCTGTGATGAACTGGCAGGCTGTCCGGTCTGTGCCACGCCTCTCGTCCTGTGGTAAATGAGCCTCCAGCCTCCTGCAACCTTGAACTAAGTGATTAAGAAAATGGATGGATGGACGGTAAGAGGCAGGTTCTCTTCATCAAGTCAATGGAATTGCCTTCCAATTAAAAAAAATACTGCATTTTTTTTTCCAATGTGTTTTTAATTGGTTGTTGTTGTAGTTTTTTTAAAAGTATTTATTTGTTATGTTTATATTTATTAAATATATTCTATCAAATTCTGACCCTACCATCTGAAAGTGGTAATAATGTATCCATCTAGCTTACTTTGGAGATATCAGCTGTAGAAATATCTGCCATCCTTTGAATATAATGGAAATATAACGAAAAGTGCTTTTGGAAATCAAAGCACAAGGACCAATCCATCACTTTTAATGTTTTATAAAGTACAGTGAATGCAGTAATGAATAATTAACCATTAATAAGGCATTTATATGTAATAGTAGGCCTCATAATTCAGTGTTGTAATTTGAAAGTTAATTTTCTCATGTCTTCTTGTGGCTTTAAATACTTTCCCTTCTGTTAAATTGACTCCCCAATCCTGTTTCATTTCAGCTGTGTTTGATCACTTTGATCTTCCCATCAGCCAATAAAGATGCTTATGTCAACGTGCTGCATTTGAGCCTTCGCTCCAGCAATTCCTAATACTCCTAGGAATCGACAATAAAGTTGTATTTCTTTTAACACTGCAAATCAGGGAATTTCTAATTTAACATTTATATCGTGTTTTAATTATTGAATTGGGCACTTAAAAAATCCAGAAATATGTTTTCAGACAACCGTAGATCTAACAGTCACCGTTCCCAGCTTCCACAGCAGTGTTCCAGTGTTTGAGTGTGTAATGGAAATTTGTTGGGCTGCGCTAACCTGCTCTCTCCACTGGACTCTGCTGTAATTACACCACTCGTCGCCTGGGCTGGGCACACTAAGGCCTCTCTTTCACACTTCATGTTTTGGATGTAAACTTATAGCCTTGCCAAGTCTTCCTTTTCATGAAACCCAAGACTCCCAAACTGGAAACTGTAAGCAAACACAGCGTCAAGTTGCTGCAGTGCAGGATAGAAACTTGACAAAAGCCCCTCACCTTCTTCATTCTGCTCTTTGTTTGGGCTACGAGGTATCAGAAAGATTAATACTGGCAGCAACAATGTTGTCAGGGAAGGAAAAATGCTATGATTTCTGTTCGGCATTAAACATTCAGCTTTACCACTGAAAAAAAAATTCACCCATCAAGTCTTCTTCTGCTGTGCTTGGCTGATTTCTGCTGGGAATGTCTATGCAACAGTTTCATTGCTTAGGCCAGACCTCATCCTCTGAAATAAAGTTTTGTTTAGCAACTATATTTGTCATTCTGGCAGTGCCACGGCCTCTCTCCTTGTTTGGTCCTTTTAACTTTCCGTGTAACTTTCCTCATGTCTCCTCACGGCGAGGATAAATATTTCATGAAGCGCCCGAGGCTTTCCCTGGCACATGCAGTACCTCGCTGTACCCAGGAAGCCCAGGCAGCGGAAACCAAAACAGACGAGGAAGTGGACGAACAACCCAGCAACAGAAATGAGCTTGTTTTTCAAACAGTTCGCTCCACATCACCTCCTCTTGCACTTCAACCCCACCTTCTTCTTTTATATCCTATCATCTCCTATTCCCTGCTCCTCATCCACCACTCTGCTTCTTCTTCCTCACCTCAGGTCCCTTTCCCCACCAGTGCTACTCTGGTTTCAAAGCCGTTACTATCTGAAGTTTGAGATCAAAAAATTACAACCAACATGTAAGCTCTAAAAAACACCACCACTCCCAGCAGGTAACCTTTGAATGTAGTTTTCTTCCCCCCACTCTAAATAGCTCACACGTTTTTCAGATTAGACAGGACTAAATAACATTTTTCTCACGGATCACGCTGCTGTGTTGGAGTTTTTTTCTTCTTTAGGGAACCATCAAAGACTTTAGACTAGAAGCTCAGTGAGACTGTGTTTAAACACACTGGCGTGATGTTTACCATGTTCACATCACCGGCACCAAACCTGAGGAGCTGAAGTGTAAAAGCCAAAGGGTCCTAAAGGACAACACCCATCTGAGCTGCAGTCCCTTCTCCTTGCTATCATCTGCCAAGAAATACAGAAGTATTCAGCACAGCTTCTTTCCTCGGGCTGTGACATTTACAAATTCATCCTCCACCGTTATTCCCACAAAAAACAAAAAAACAAAAACTATTTTATCTAAATTATTCATTAATTAATTTGAATGTTTTAGTTTTTGTTAGCAGAAGTAGAAAATTTGCAACATCATTATAAAACTTTGTTACCTGTACGGAGGACCAAATCTGCCAATATAAAACAAATAAATACATGTAATTATATAAATAAAAAACCAAAAATAAATATAGATTATTTTATACAATTTCATGTAAATTCATTATTTAAAATAATATCCCATTTGTTATTTAAAGCGACAATAAATATCATGTTTGCAATTCATTTTTATTACAAAAACTGTTGTGTGTGTGTGTTGTCTTTAAAATGTTTTATATTATTAAATTCCTCATATAAATTAACAGGCATACAGACAAAAATCAATGACACTAGAACAGGAGATTATTTTTTTTTCTGTTTACTTCCATACCAACAAATACCTCTGCTGTGACCTTAATTTTACCATGTGAAAGCAATATAAATAATGGGAAAAACAACAGCTGTGCTTATTTCATAACACACTAATAAACTGATGACATGGATAATGCTGGTGGTTGCTTAGTTACGAGGAAAACAGAACATGATTATGGTACATCACAACTGGTCTTTGCCATTTATTTTTCCCTTTAATTTTTGAGGTTGTCAATATTGGGCCTTTTTAAAAATGAATATGAATCTCTCTCTCTCTCTCTCTCTGAGATTCATTTTACTAACTATCATTAATAGTAAAATGATTTATCACCATTTCCATGACACGTGGGGTCCTCCATACAGGAATTTCACAATTTGTTTTAAATAAAATGATTTCTTGTTGAATATTTAATTAATTTAAAATATTTGTGACAGGTATATAATTCCATGTTGGGATTATTAAAATTCTCCTGATTCCTGAGAACCAAAAAAGGTCCTGAAAAGATGCAGCTTACAGGCCACCTTTAATAACATCACCAACAGGACTAATAGAAAGTCTTTTACTCATGATCTTTCCAAAATATATTTTTTAATTTAAAAAATGTAAAAGATGTGACTATGATACTCCTCCCAGTGTCTTCGGGTCCTTCCACATGATACGAAATTAATTTTGAGGTGGTGTTTGTGTATTTGTTAGTTAATTTTCAATTCCTCCTCGTCACAACCCGTGTACCTTTCTTTCTCGTCCCGTCTCCGGCTGTCTGTCCTTCAGGTGTGGCCTCGATGTGACAGACAGCTGCCAGTGGTGGCCTGGTTTCACACCTTGGCTGCCCCCCCGCCGCCTCCCTCTGCAGACAGCAGCCTGGGAAACCACAGGCCACCAGGCTGGCGCCAGCCTGTACGGCTTAGAGCAGGGCAGCCGGCCCAATCAATACCTCTGCATTTCCTGTCCATTTGCTCAGGTCTCTTCATTAATAATTACTGCTTGGCGGAGCTTCAATGCGCTCGCTGGCTGGGCCAAGGGGAGAGGCTGGGTGACCTTTCCCCGCCCCTGGCTTGACTTGGATCACACAGACAAACACGGGGACAGACATAATAAGGCAACACAGATGACATTACCCCTGATTCATGCCGGTTCCTCCTCTGTAGCGAAGAGCACGCCAAATGCTATTAAAAAAAATACATTTTTTTGCAGCTGTGCTTATCAGCAGTGGTACACACCAGGTAGAACATGACTTTGAGACATTTTTACAACCAGTTTGGTGCCGCTTTTCAACTTGGCAAACACCCACTAAATCCAGCAGCTATGATTTCAGCATCATCTGTGCCGTGCAGCGGCAACCAGGAGGAAGCTATTCTTAAAAGTAATCTTTGAAAAAATAAGTGCCGCTCGGTGTATCATTTCCTGTTCATGGTACATTTTCCAGATGACAATAACAATTCTTCAAAACATCTTAAATTACGTTCTGCCTGGGATGTGCTTTCGCTGATAAGCAAAGCAACAATAAATGCCAGGTTTGAAACTGCAGCAGCACGGTGTGATTATTTTCTCCAGGCATGAGAGAAAACAAAACGCATGACATGATGCTGAAGTAATGTGGGGGTTTTAAAAAAAACTTTTTTTATTTAATGATGACCAGAGAGCAGAACAGTTTCTCAGCATCTGGATCGAGTAAAACAAAGTTAATCTGTTCTCGTTCTTTGGCCTCTGCAGACAAAGACCCCTCCAGGCTGTACAGGAGTGTGTGTGTGTGTGTCCAGGTCAAAATTTGGTGACGGCAGAGGCGATGTTCTCCAAGGCGGATCGAGCCTCGGAGGAGGGGAAAGCCTGGATGGCCTCCAGAGCCTTGTTGCCATGGTAACAGCACAAGTCCATCGCCGTGCTCACGCCTTTCTCCGACTTAACCGCTGCCAAAAGCTGCAGACGGATGAAAACACACATTAGTTTGTCATGTTTGTGTCACTCTCGTTACTATCCAGCTGTCAACACAATAAACTGTTAAGAGGCAGCGAAAGTTAGCTCGCTGTTAAAGCGGGCCCGAGGGGTAAAAACGGGAGGAAAGATGCCTTTTAATAACCCCTCCCCAAAAAACCCCAATCACAATCACGTCTGTGCTGCCAGTGGTATCACTGAAGGCAGCTTCCCAAATTTAACTACAAGAGGAAATTTTCAGACTCATCACTGTGAGTCAGGCTTTAAAAATTTGGCATTTGACAATGAGAAAGGAAATGCCCTGAATCGTGTTTCTCTGCCAGTGCTAATTACGTAGCTCACAGCTCTTCTGTCTTTCCACTTTACTAATGAAGGCACCGGTTTTTCTGCACGCCAGGTAATGAACTGAACAAAGGATTTCTGTGAAGACTGTCCGTCACAAAGTCGCGGATTGTTGGATTTGTTTTTTTAACACATTGATTTCTGCTCCTATATCCCAGAGAGCACTTCATGCACCTTACACAACTTACACATTTCACGCATGAGGAAGCAGAGGCCATCAAATCAAATCAACTCTAACAACAGCTTTAAGTACACAGACTGAGTGAATTTGTGCACCTCCCTGTGCTTTACTGCTGCTGTGTTGGGACATCTTTTTGCTGGAGGCGTTTTACCTGATGAATTCTGGAGGTGGAAAACCCCGTAGGCCTTTCTTCTCTAAATCACCAGCCAGGGTGATGCTGAGTTCGACACCTGCAGTTCTTTATTATCATTTTTCTTCTTAAATTTAGAAAAGACTATATTTCCTGGAACATTTTACGCCATCTTCTCTGCTAACCTTGTTTAATTCGGCATTAGTTTTTAGTTTCCTCCCTCCCTCCTCTGTTTGCGCGTTATGTTTGGTTCCACATCCTGTTCTTTCTTCATGCTCCAAACAAGATTTGTCTGTCTTTGCCGCCTTGAGTCTCCTGATCTCATCAATATTCACATGCAGCACGTGAGAAAAAATTAAACAGGACAAGTGAGCATGATAGCTGACATAATTCAATAAAATATGATCAAGTTAATTCATTTTTCAAAAGTAATGTACACTGAATATATTAAACATCATTTAATAAAAGATGGAGTTAGTTTTTCATCTGAAAACGCCACTTTGTCAAGATTTAGTATGAAACGGTGAGTTACCCCCGTGCAATTAAATTAAAAGCCAATGAGAAACCCTGAGCGGCTCCTGAAGCACCTGTCCACGATATCATGGCTCGCTCTGTGGCTCCTGATTACTGCTGCAACTTTCCGCTGATTATAAGCCAGCCCATCTTCTAGAGTCCTTTTCTATGCTTTTCAGCTCCTGGTAAGTCTGTGGCACATAATGTAAATTGTGTAATGCCAAAAACATTACAATTTCTCTTGAAAACACAAAATAACTGCCCACAGGTGATACCAAGATGGCTGCTAAATGGCAAGACCCACAGCACAGACACTGAGGCCATGTCCGCACTAATTGGTTTTAGTTTGAAAACGCATCTTTTTCTCTCCGTTTTGACCTTCTGTTCACACTGAGACGGCGTTTTCGGTCAAGGAAAACGCGTTTTGAAAACACTCTCCAAAGCAGATACATTTGAAAACGTCGTTTTCGCATCGCAGTGTGGACAGCGAACCCGGAGCCTTTTCGAAAACGATGACACATTTTAGTCATGTGATACAGTCAGGTAACCAATGAAACTAAGATAGCAGAGGGCATTATACAGCAGTTGGTTTGTTTGCTCTCAATTTTGACAGCCCTATTAAAAATTAATATCATGCTCCAGATAGCTTTTCTTCAAATTTTTTAATTCTCACTCGCTTTTGCAACTTAGTACTTTTGTGTTACTCGCAGCAACAACTCCACCTCATTGTTAGTCCATTTAAAAAACTCTGTGCTTTTCCTCGACCTTTTGCCGCAACGTTTCAAAGAGCCGGAAAGTAAATAAACGGCAGACAAAAATGCGGCAGGTTGAATCATCTTGCGTTTCACGCATGCGCATAGGGCTGTGCGATATGACCAAAATCTCATATCCTGATATAAAACATCTATCGTCTGATAACGATATAAATCACAAAAATGTAACATTTTCTGTAAATTCTGTGAATCTCGAGCAGCTAAAGTGTTTCCAGCTGGGCGTCGTGTATCTGGAGTCGAGTGTTT